CACACACACAAAAACACACACACAAAAACACACACACACACACAAAAACACACACACACACAAACACACACACACACAAACACAAACAAACACACACACACACACACACATATACATATGCATGCCGACACGAGCTCTCACTAGCGGAGACTTCCCGAGACCCACCGACATACTGTCTGTACAAGCATGAACCTACGATCACTGCAACTGGTCGAATGTCTGTCAAGCTCGCGCAGTCACGGGACTTGGGAGTCACGCTATTTACGAGGCCGCGTGAGCGAGGCTGCGTTTAGTCTCGCGACGGACGAGTCATGTTCGTGCAACAAGTTGAAACATCACGAGCAGTAGCAGTGACATGTTTCAGCACCCGTGAAACTCGTCGAGTAAACAACCCTCCATGCATCTAATCCGTGCGAAACCCGAACCCCGTCGTCATCGTCCCTTGGCAAAAGTATGCGGCGGCCGGGGGCCTGAGGGGCCGGCCGTAAGCAGAAATGTTAGGTCGTCAAGGGGTAACAGTATGCTTCACGGGCGTCTTGCTTTTAACGCCTTGTCCACTGAGACCAGCAGCGTGCAGGGGCTGCAGCCTGGGGGGCTTGCTGCACTTCAGATATCGAGCTCTCTAACCATATCGACACATGATGCCGGAAAGAGTAAAGATATGAAATATTCGTGTGACAAGCAAGTCTTCCAAGTTCGCACATTAACGGGCTAGCAGTTAATTGCTACGTATTTAGATGGAACATGATGGAATCCACTTCCCTCCGTGTCGTGGAGGAGAGATGGTCATTAGCCGAAAATTGTCAGCATCTGGATCACGATGGGGTCTACGTATGCTTCACACACATCAGTGCCTGACAGAGACAATCGAAACACCGCCGCCTCAGGGCCAACTGACCAAGGAAGCACACCCCGGACCAATGCCTCTTCGGACCCCTCCACCCTTTCCGAAGTGTGACATCAGGGCCAATTCTTCCTTGGGTCCTTGACGACTTGTAGCCAGAATCAATGCGAGAATTTGCAAGGGAAGATGCATGCACGGCCAGACACAAGATCTTTGTAGAACTGGTGGTGAGAAAAGTTTTCCTGAAAAGCTGCAGCACCTCTATGAAAGCACCAAATGCTTCAAGCCACCAAGCCAAGGCAGCCAGCTGCCTGCAGGTGCCTCCGGTGCAAAAGTACGGCGGAAGGAGCATCACCGTCAACGGCGCGCAAGCCAACGATCTGAACTCAGAAGTAACAGTACTTCACCCTTCTACTTCATGTGCTTGGGGCAGCTCCGGTGAAATGTCATCTGCGGACTGCTTCTCCTGCCAAGGGAGCCAACTTCTTCTTCGAAGCAGCGATGGGGTTCGTTCGGCGCATGGTGCAAAACATCCTTGCAATGGCGGAGTCGAATGTCGACGACGTCCTCGTGCTGCTTTCCGCTGTTTCCATGTCAATATCGGGGAGCCAATGACATGCACATGCCCCACACCCTGCCTTGCCCAGTGTCAATGCGTAGACATATCCAAAAGGTTGCCATAAACGGAACAAGTGCTTTGCCATCGCAACAGCCACCTGGCACGCCGATGTAGAAAAGCATGTGAGGTGACCCCCGTGCGAGCCACGACAAGTTTGGGCAGCTGTGCAGATTTGCGCCCGCGAACCACCACGATCGAGGTGATGTCCCTGCGCGTGATGGCATGCTGGTACCATGAGTTGCATCACGTTTTTGAAACTTGTTGGTGCCTGTAAGGTATTCGTCGTCTGAAGATGCAAATCGGGACTGGCCCAAGCGAAACAACAACACCTTCCGGTGTGCACCACAAAGCACTCGTGGATGCTGTGCCTCGGAGGTTGTAAGGCGGCAAACTCTATTCTATGCAGGCATCCCCATCACAGCTTGCCATCGCAGTCTGAGAAGCGCACACAGCATAATGAAAGGGAGCATGGAAATCTGCGGCAGCCATGTCCTCTAAACTCTTCGATATCATGCTCTGACTTCCCATCTCCACCGAGAGGTCATGCCAGAATTGTCGTCAGACAAACGCATGTGGGCTGTGTTTTGACATGGCTGAGGCCTTAGAAACACACTTACCGAGTGGAGACCGAAAGACCCTCACGAGGCTTCCACTTACACCGTACACCCTAGAAGCTACCTCGCTAAACGTACAAGCTCGAAGGTCCTGGCAGCGAACCAGAACGCAACAGACACAACCATCACCTTGGCATCCCCGGATTCGACCACTCTGCTGCACGAGCACCTTGGGCACCCACAATTCCGCGCAGGTGGGGGCCTTACATCAGAAGCATGGTCATAGATGCAGATGTAGGATTCTTCACGAGCTGCCAGGTGCTTCTGCGCCTGAAGCCAGCTCTGCAATGTCCCAGCCGGATTGTGCTGTCCTAATGGGCGAAACCGCTGATGGCGCGCAACAGCCGTTTTCAACATCCAATATACTATTCAAGAAGCTTGGAGCACGTCGCGGAAGAACTGCCTGCTGCAGAGCGTTGACAGCTGTGAGTTGATCGACAATTGTCGACATGGCGTGCCAACCCAGGCAGCAGATGGCAGCAGACCTGCGGGCACGGCTGCCTCCACATCCTGTTCAATCCTGGCTCCAGCATGGAAGGACGGTGTGGCGCAACTTCTTTCGCACCTGCAGTCCCATTTGCCCTGAGGGTCCTTTGCTGATCTGGAGCAGAGGGTATGGGGACGATCTCCTCCAGCACCAAATGACAGGAGAACGTCACAGGGCAGGAACATTCAAAAGAATCTCCACATGGCGCCGTCGCCACCCAAAACGGAACATACCAGTCTTGGGTGTCTAGATCAATCCCTAAGGCTGGCGAAAGCGGGGCTCCGGCGCGTTTTATATGGACTATTGCTGTGGGGAGGGTTTCGGGTAATAGGGTTTTGTATGGCTAAAACTTGAGCGGCGTTGTACACGGCTTGGTTTCGGGCCGAAGGCTTGGGTTGAGGGTTTAGGGTTCCGGCCTCTCAGGGTTTCGGGCCGGGTTTGCTGAATGGGGTGTTAGGGTTAAGGGTTAAGGGTTGTAGCCGGAACGAACACCGAGCAGGCGGAGGAGTTGAGGAACAGTGCTCGGAACAAGCGATGAACGGGATTTCGGGAACCCAGCCGAAACACAGGATTTTGGCTTACGACCAGAGATTCGGACTGCTCAAAGTGTGCTTGCGCAGGAGAATCCGCACTGATTTGCTCAAAAGCTGGAAAACCTACCCATGTCGTCGTCTTGTGCATCCTTTTCGACTAGTCGGACTACCATTCACCCTGCGACCGGGCCGAGGCGGACAACGCGAGTCGTTTGCAATTAGTGCTCAACTGGGTCTGACAGGGCTTAGCTTTGGGATGAAAGTTTTCAAGGTTAGAGAGATTCGGGACCGTGAGGCTTAAGTTGAAGACCGTGGTTCAGGGTGCCCGATAAAATTTTCGAATGTTCCTGGAAACTTCCCGGGAGACTTTCGGATGGAGGGTGTTGTAACGTAGGTAGGGTGAAGAAAAGGTTTGGTCTTTGGGACGCTAAACCTAAGCTCGGCCCGGCACGTCAGACGTTTCGCAGCGCTTTGGTACACACAGAGCATCGCAAAGCTGGGTTGGGTAGGCCACCACGTGGGACGAGGCGGGCTCGCGTATCGATAAAACAAAAAATTAAGATGCAACGAAACAACACTCTTTTCATTGGATACTGCATTCCAATGTCCTCTGCGGCTCCAACTGCTATTTGCATTGAACGGAAGTCAGACACTGCAAACATTGCAGCTTCCTGTGTTTGCCAGCGACTGCCTTGCCATTGGAAGTTGCCAAAGCATGGGAAGGCCATAGTACTTTCTACGGCTGCCTTGGTGCACTTGCTGCGATTCCATTGGCGCAGCTCTCCCTTCGTGGGAGCATGTGGCTGGCACCGTTGGATGGGAGTCCCACGGTTCGTTGGCATGTGCGACCTGCAGAATGCTCAGCAACAGCAGAAGCAGCCATGACGTGTCCCAATGGGCGGTCGTTCGAACAAAACGTGAACGAAAATGCCCGCACTACCCGCATGTGCGTTCGAGAGAACTCACTGATCAGCAGCCAAGAGCACAGAGTGGCATGGAACACATTCTATACCACTCAGGCATGGGGTCGATCGGCACATCGAGCATCACACAAACGAACGAGAGTGAGAGTCCCGAGCCGCGACCCCAACCACCGACACCTCCGAGCGAAGTAGTCAGTAGTGAAACGCTCGACCGAGCAGCCGGTGCAACCTTCACGGGACCAACCGCCGAAGTCTCGAACGAGCCTTCCCGACCCTCAAGACCCGAGCATCTCCCCTTCTCATCACAAAGGGTGGGTTGGGTGGGACAAAACAGATCCTATCCGGACCTTCGAGGCGATCGCCTCGACCCAAGATGGCGTTCTGATCAAGCGGTCTCCACGTCTGGGTTCTCAAAATCCTCAGACGATCTCTTCCAGGTCGTACAACTGGACAACAAGGCCTTGGGTTACCTCTGAGGGCAGTGTCATGGATCGACTTCATGCTTTCTTCGTCGCTCTCGAGTACCTCAACATTTGCGAGTTCACTATGGACGCATCAAGTACCTCTCCGAACTTGACAAAATTTCTCTGGTCCTGGCTGCCGACTCCCTGATCAGGAAGAAACTCTACAAGCTCTCCAACGACAAGCCACGAGACTTCCCTACTTTGTCCTCGGCGCTCAAGGATGTACTGAAGAAACGCAAGCAGCTCCGGAATGACGCTCGCTCGACGGCCGAGCTCGACAAGTTCAAGCAGCTCTTGCACGACCCTGCGGCTCCGCCTAAGAGGCCACGTTCTTCTTCTCCTCCTCCGACCCTGCCGCCAACCTCTGAAGCGCGCACGAAGAAGGACCGCGCTCGTCGGGACAAACAAGAGGCTCTTCTTAAGCAAGCTCGAGAACTCGCGAAGGACAAGGACAAGCCTTCCAAGCAGCCAGCTGGGGCGAAGCTCGTGGCCAAGCTCAATCGCGACCCCAGGATCCCTGAGAAGGAGTGGAAGAAGATCGCGTAATCGCGTCGTTCACCTATACAGGCGCTCGCCGATGTCCGTGGTACAACTGCTCGCTCGGCTGCCGCTTCGGAGATCAGTGCCGCAACAAGCACATCTGTGTGCAGTGTGGGGGTGATCACCCCAGCCATGGCAACCACTGGACGCTCTCATCGCCGCCTAGGTTCTTCCTTTGCACAGACCGCCAGGGGATTTTTAATCCCCAGCTGCAGCGTCGCCGTCGGCTTCTCAGCCCAAATTGACGAATGAAACTTCTCCCAGAAGCTGAGTGCTGCGCGATGGCCGTGTTCACCGCAGTGGGTCACATGGTCAGAAGTTCCTGAGGATCCCTACTTGGTTCGCGACTTGGGCCCTGGTGCCTGGAAATCTTGGCTGGCTCTGCCTCTTTTGCAGCTCGGCTTCGTGCTCAAAGTCTCCTGGTTCTACCTCCCGTGGACAGCGTGGTCTCCGCCGAAGTCCAGGAATGTAAAGATCTCCTGGATGTCACCTTCTTTGAGTTCGTTTCATGTGGGCGCGATTTCCATGCGACCCAGTCCTCGTTAGGTTTCCGCTTGCGGCCGAGCACTTCTCTGATGTAATGGTACTGCAGACTGTTGGCCTTTATCAAGAGGTAGTCCGAGATCGGCCAGGTTTCGCAGGCCCACAAGGCGGCGCAGCGGACGAGGGTGATCAAGGATCTGAGCCGGTCGTCCAGCTTGGCCTCGTCCCGGACCACCGGGTGGATCCAAAAAATAGATCCCTTACAAGGGTTCCTATAAAGTATCCTGTAGTAGTTTGGGTCCCAAATTAGGGGATCTATT